CTCAAGAGAGAACAACTCCGGTGCATTTACCTTTCAAACCGCGGAATGAAATCAAGATCGTTTCTCTCCACCGTGGACATTCCGGTCAGATCCGCTGCCTAACCATCCTGAGCTCCAGGCCTCCTGTGTGTACCGAGACCCTGCTAAATGCTCAGATTATGTCCTTCCACAGCTGGGCTTCCTGCTTTTCCCAAGAACAATCGATTTTTCCAGCCCACTGGGGGCTCTTTCCTTACCCGGGAACTCTGGGAAAACTTAGAGGGGAAGCCTGTTCTGCCCAAGAAGAGAACCCTGGTGGAGTCTTACCTCAATCTGCAAATCCGTTCCTCAAGCCTCTAATGAGCATCGATTCCACAGGAAAAAGACAACCAGAGCAGTAGCTGATGTCTGCTGATCAGTTCCTGACCCTGCTCCAGGTGCGCCAATCTACCGAGAGAGGCCCTCACTTCTCCTTTTCCGTAGGAAGAAACATGTTAAGGATTTATCAGGTAGCACTGTTTATCCAACTAAGCCCACTCAGCTTATGTGCAAATAGCTCTCCTGCCCTCCTGTTGCCTTGGTAGGTAAAAATTACTCTAGTGACGGTGTTAGAAAAGCTTTGGGCACAAGGATCTCAGCAAGCAAGAAGGAAGGAAAAGTATCTTCAGGGTGACAACTCTCCTGACTCTTTCCAGAAAGCTGACGGAGCCGCCTCCACCCTCCTGAGCCCCTCGACTGGCTAATGATTACCCCACAGTAAAAATTATCACTAGTTCATTATGCATTTTTCGTATTTGCTTCTTGTCCGTTTCCCTTACACCTCCCAACTAGGATGTAGCTCCAGGAGGGAGGGAATTTTTGCCTTGTTTTCACTCTTTAATGACTGCACCCAGAACCTTCCATTAATATGTGCTCAAGAAAAAAAAAAAAAAAAAAACGTTGAATGATTAAAAGAATAAACGATTCTCTACTTCTTTCACCTCTTAACTGTGGTTGGGCGATCTTCAGAGCAGGAAGTGGGAAGAGAGATTTCCCCTGCTTCTTCCATAAGACAGAGAGGAAGACCAAAAATACAGCATAGCTTGTGGTTTCCGGCACAACCTAAATTTCTTCACCTTCCCTTTTCTGAGACTACCGGGAAGCCCAGCGAACTACAAAACTCTCCTCTGCAAATACTGCATCAGTCTTCAAAAATCCTTATCAGGCAGTATTTGGTAATTTTACTTTCTGTTACTGTCTTTTAACCGAAGTAACCTTAGGCCCGGCCGACTGTGAAAAAAAAAATGCAGCCTGCCCTCTCTGAGGCTCAGACTCAGGATCCTTCAGATTATGAGACTGACGCGGGGCCTACTGCGCTAAGGCGGCGGTTTGCTGTGGGGTTTTCCCATTTAAAGTAAAATATCAAATATTATTTTCCCCAGCACCGCTGTTTTGTTAGTTTCCAGCGTTTAAGGAATACAATCGGTGCTACTTGAAAATCACTCCATATAAGCCAGTGGTGCACCCAAAGGATTTCACACCCACAATCAGTGAAATCCAAGCCTTTCCGGGATTCACCCGAGGGTAGGTCCGTCTGGGCTGCGGGACTGGGGGACAGGTACGCCTGGCTTTTGCTGCTCTGGTGTCCTAATGATGTGGTTTTCCTGCCCTCAGAGATCTCAGGTGGTCTTACACCTTCCGTGGTCTCCTTTGTTGAAAATAAACATGGGAGATGCTTAGTTAAGAGTTCACTGATTGGCGGACTGAATGAGCGAATAAATAATCCTCACATTTGTCCATAGCCCAAACGTCTCTGCCTTGGTCTGTTTTGTCCCCACTTATATCTACGTGACTGGAGACATTCTCCCTACAAAACATACAAGTTGAACTTAGTAGAAATCTCGCCGTTGGCTTTGTCTTGTCATGTACCATCAGTTATACTGAGAGATTTATGGACATTATCCCATATGGTCCAATTGGATTTTGACAACAAAAATATTTATCAAAATCTCCCTTCCCAGATATAATGGAGGTTCGGATACTAAGTATTGCTCCTATGGTCCCCAGAGCTGCTGGGTGGCAAAACCTGACCCGAGAAGCAGATTTTTAGGTTCCAGAACGTAAGCTCTTTGTCTGCTCCAACTCAAGGCGTCTCTGTTCTCCGCAGTAAGCTCATTCGTTGATACAGAAATATCTAACTTTCAGCCTCCTGTGTGCTGGCCTTTTGGGCTTAGACTTCCAAGTCAATATGGACTCATTGTCCTCCTTCAGATCCCACATCCAGTGACTTGATAATTACTGAACGTTGTTCTTGTGCAATTCTTTTGAATCTATTACTTCGTTTCCATTCATGTTCTTTGCCAGGCGCTGTGCTGGTTCAGGTGACTCAGAAGGAATCTGATGACTGCAGACCTCAAGAGATGGGAGGGTGAATATGGACAAGAAACGATCCACTCCCAGGTTCACCGCTTTGTTTCCCTGTGGCCTTTACAGATAGATAACTCATTCTAAAACATCATTTTTAATAACCTCACTCTCTTTTGCACACTGGCATTCTTGGTTTTTTAGTTTCCATATGATCTTGCTTTTCTCTCAATCTTTGGTTGTTCTTTCTTCCCTACATTGTGATTTTGTTCTGTAAGGTCAGTTGGTGGACGGTGGTGTTTAGTTCTTCAGTATATTTGCTGATTTGTTGTCTACTAAATTTATCAATTAATAGAGAGAAGTGGGGGCACCTGGGTGGCTCAGGTGGTTAAGCGACTGCCTTCGGCTCAGGTCATGATCCTGGAGTCCTGGGATCGAGTCCCACATCGGGCTCCCTGCTCATCAGGGAGTCTGCTTCTCCCTCTGACCCTCTTCCCTCTCGTGCTCTCTATCTCTCAAATAAATAAATAAAATCTTTAAAAAAAAATCATTAATAGAGAGAAGTGGGTTTTTTTGTTTTTTGGGTTTTTTTAGGATTTTATTTACTTGAGAGAGAGCATGAGGACGGGGAGGGGCAAATGGAGAAGGAGAGGCCTGGCTGCTGAGCAGGGCGCCCGTTGCAGGGGCTGGGTGCCAGGTGGAGGGCAGATGCTTAACCGACTGAGCCACCCAGGCGCCCCAACAGAGAGAAGTGTTAACATCTGCAACTATAATTGTGGGTTTTTGACTTTACTTTTCTTTTTTAGGTTTATTAACTTTTGTTTGAATTTTGGAGCTCTGTGGCCAGATGTGTGCACATTTAAGACAGTTCCATCTATTTGGTGAATAGATACCAAATAATAACATCTCTCTGGAAAATTGCTTTGAAATCTACTTTGTCTGATACATTCACTTTTTTTTTTCCTTCATGGTTTAATTTCCCCCTCTCTTTTACTTTTACTCTACCTAAGCCATTATATTCGAGGTGAGTTTCTTATAGGCAGCACATATTTGGGCCATGTTTTATTTTTAATATAGTCTGACTATCTCTAGTATGTAGCTGATGATAAATCTAAAACTAGATTTATACTAGTTAACATTTAACATTATCATGGGTATGTTTGTATATAAATCTATTAATTTTACCTTGTTTATGGTCTGTTCCCTCTGTTTTTCATTCTTCTATTTCTGTCTTTCTACTTCCTTTTGGCTTTTTAAAACATATTTAATATTCTATATTAATTTATCTTTTTTTCTACTATATCTCTTTGTATAGTTATTTAGCAATTAGTCTAGGTTACTGATAGTGATTGGTATATGTGTTACCATATACACAATTCACATTTTACAGTCTATTTTAGAATGAGTGTTATACCATTCAAGTCAAATATAGAAACCTTATCACCATTTAGGTCCCTTTATTCTAACCCCTTTGTGTTGTGTATATAGTATATTTAGATGATGTGTTATAACTTTTGCTGTTAGTCATCAAGAGCTGACTTTAAAAAATTTTAAAGAACTCCAGAGAATAACGGTCTATTGTATCTACCCAGATATTTCCTACTCTGCTGTTGTTCCTTCGTTTCTGATGTTCCAAATTTCCTATCAATTCTCTGCTGTCTAAAATCTTTTTTTTTTAAAGCTGTTCTGCTACAAATGAATTTTCTCAGTGTGCTTTCAAATGGGAATGTATTATTTCACCTTTATGTCTGAAGGATATTTTCGCTACAGATAAAAATTTCAGATTGACGATTATTTTCTTTCAGCATTTAAAAAAATATTCCTCCATTTCTTTCTAGCTTCTGTGGTTTCTGATAAATCCACAAACACGCAACACCTTTTCATGTCCTCTGGCAGCTTTCAATTTCTTTTCTTTAATTTTTAGCAGTTTGATTGTGATGTGTCCAGACGTGATTTTTCTTTGGGTTTATCCTTCTTGAGCTTTACTGAACTCTTGAATCTGATTTATGTGTTTTGCACTTTCCGGGACTGTGTTGAATTTAGGGCCAGGCTGCAGGGGGACACGTGGAGAAAACCAGCAAGTGGGTATGCCTCATCCTTTGGGATCCCATGTTCTCCGAAGAAACTAGACTTTATTTACTATAAACTGGCAGTCTACATACCTACGTTTTGTAGGGCCGTCACTAGCCCTGTCTCGTCCATTCCCATAGGTCAAAATTCAAAGAAACGGCCAAAACGCTACTGTGTTGAAAACGCCCGCCACTTTCTCATATTCCTGAGGGGATTAGAAAGCCGAGGGCGGACAAAATCTGGAGAACGTGGGCACCGATCCCACCACCTCTCGCACAGCTAAGCGAGCGCTCTACCAGCTGAGCTAATTCCCTGACCGGAGCCTGGGCCTTTGCCAGTTTTCCTTCCGGGAGCAGATGAGCGGGTCTCCGCTTCAGTAGTCACTGTTTCTGGTGGCCAAGAACACAGAGCCCCAAGTCAAGGCCATTAACGCAGAACAGGATTCAGCGCAAAGCGCCTCTTCTCCAGACGGCCCCGGGCAAGGGCGCGGCGGTCACCGGGTCCTCTGCGGGAGGGAAGGGGGAGAAAGTCGCCGACAGAAAGATCTGGTGCCGCCAAAACTTTCCGTCGCACGTTTTCCGGGAGAGGAGCGCGCACTTTCCCGCGGGGCTGCGGTCTCGGGAGGCCGGGCGCTCGCGGGGTGGGGACCGCGGGCTCCGCGCGGCTGCGGCCTCCGGGAGCAGGCGGTGGGGACCGTGCTGGGCTGTGGAGGCAAAAGAAACCGCCTGTTTCCGCCCGGTTTCGAACCGGGGACCTCTCGCGTGTTAGGCGAGCGTGATAACCACTACACTACGGAAACTCCTTGGGCGAGGCGCTTTTTCTTGCGTCCGAGGTACGCGTTCACGGTCGGGAAAGTGGGCCGAGCGGCTGTCGCAGCAAGACCCACGACGCGCTCTCGCAGAAGGGTGCCGGGAGGCACGGCTGCATCCGAGTGCAGGCTGCTGAACCGTGCGGGATGGAGAAGAGGAGGGAAGCCCGCGAGAAGCGAGCCCGCACGGCTGTGGCAAGTGCTTGGGGGTGGGGGGGGCGCGAGGCCTGTTGAGTATTTGAATTAAAACCGAAGGGCCTCGGAGCGCGCGGGGCGGCTGGAGCGGGGCCGCAGAGCGCGCGCACTTGGCCGGGAGAGGCCCCGCGCGCCGGCCCGCCCTGTGCCCGCTTCCGCGCGCTCCTGTCCCCGGCTGGCGGCGCGGTCTCCACGACCCGATGGCAGCCGCGGGGCTTTCCCCCGGGACCGCAGGTTTAAATCTGGATAATAACGGACCTTGGATCTGTTGGTTTTTTTTTTTTTTTTTTTTCTTTATGGGCGCACACAGGACGGGGAGGCAGTGACTTGGATCCCACCGCGAGGGGTGGGCTGAAAGAGGTGGAGGAAGGCGGGGAAGAGCCGAGGGGACGAAACCCGGGTAGGACGGGGAGCCCGGGGACAGAGGAGGCGCTCCCAGCCGCGCCGGGAGGGGCATTGCTGTCTGGGGGGCTGCGCGCCGCCAGTTCCGGGGGGTCGGCGCGGACGCCCATTCCCGGTTCTCCCGACCGAGAGGAGCCGGTTTCAGTGGTGGCAGGAGCGGAGCTCGGCTCCTGGAGACTGAGATTTATGCGAAGGTTTAGCCTGGGAAATAAGAAAGGGGAAAGCCTGGCTCCTGGAGACTTGAGGTCCAGGTGAGAATGTGTGGACCCGAGGCCTCTGCACGGGGCGGCACGGAGAGATTACATAAAACCCGAGAGCGACGGAACCGAGGGTTCTGACACCTACCAGGGTTCCGAGAGAAAACCCCGCAGGCAGATCAGGGACGGGGTGGGGGTGGCAGGCGGTTACAGGTGGTCCTCACCCCCCCGCCTGGGCCCATTGCTGTAGCGCGCCCGCTTTTTAATGACACCCGGAACAAATTCCTCGGGATGGCCTACTACGCTATAAACAGAAGCGATGAGGACCTTTTCCAAGGCCATACCTGTGCCCCAAGACAGATTTTTCTCTAGGGACCCAGTGAGCTGCAGATTGACTGGATCATACTGTAAATGCCCAGCCGGAAGGGCTGTAAGGCAATGCCTTCCCCGCCAGCTGACAGGATCTAGTGAGAGTCTGAGCCAGGGCGCGAGGGCGCGAAGGTCCTGAGCCACGGTGGGCCGAGCTCATCCCACACTGAGCTTTTCCTCTTCTTCGCCTTGAGGCCTAAGCCTTAGGGACACCAGGAGCCCAACATGCGGTCCTGGCAAGGGCCTTCTGGGGGCGGAGCGGATCCTCAGAGACCCAAGACGGCTTTGGGACTATGAAGTCCCGTCTGGAGAACTGAGGAAAAGAAAGATCCCGTATTTGGCTGTGCTGAGGAGCTGTCTTCCTGCTGCCCACGGAGGCCCGCGTCGCCTTTCAAGTCTGCCTTCCCACTCTTGCTCCAGACTGGACACGGCTGACTCTTCCATCCCTGAGGCCATTACTCCAATGTCGCTGCTGTAGAGAGCCCTTCCCGGACCTCTCCAGCGGAATCAAGGCCCTCCCTATCTCTCTCCCTCCATCTTCTTTATAAAATTCTGTCCTTGGGAAGGATATTAAATTTTTATTTCCCATATTTCCTCTAGAGGATAAGCTTCTGGACAGGTTGCCGGTCTCAACCCTCTCAGTGTCTAGAGTTAGGATGATGCTATTCTCAGCTGTCGCCTCTTCAGACCTTAGTGACACGGAGGGGAAAAGCTTTCCTCTGGGTCGTTCTTTCATAGGGTAAATTCCAGGAGGAACCTTTCTTAAACCAAGGCAACACGGCAGCTGTGAGACCCTCTGGTTTTCTGGAATGGACAAGGTAAATGGGCACAGACTGGAAGGAAGCAAGGTAACTCCACCCGTGACATTTTTGAATACTCGTTTCTGCCTTGCAATCCTCCGGTACGCCTTTTGGAGCTCTTACTGATTCAGTGAGAAAGCAATTGCCATGATGAACTTCTAAGAAATAGAAGTCATCGGCTTTTCTTAGTGGCCTGCATGATCATACAGGGTTCTGGCTGTGACTGCATCCCATCAGTGGGAATCTGAGTATGGTAGTCTGGAATCTTCTGCTTTCACTCCCTCTGCCCCGAAACGGAATCTGAGGCTTTGACTGGAAGCTGGGTTTTGTTCCATTCAGAATAAATATATAGAGAAAACCTTCTGTGCTGCTTTCTGGGCACTGGCTGTCAAATCAGCTAAGAAGGGGAAAGAAAATCTGAGTCTTCTCAATTTATTGTTCTCTTTCTCTTTCCACCTTCACTCAAGGCAGTGCTCACAACTATTTTTTTTTTTTTTTTTTTTTGCGAGAGAGAGAGAGAGAGAGAGAGTGAGAGACAGAGAGCATGAGAGGCAGGAGGGTCAGAGGGAGAAGCAGACGCCCCGCCGAGCAGGGAGCCCGATGTGGGATTTGATCCTGGGACTCGATCCTGGGACTCGATCCCGGGACTCCAGGACCATGACCTGAGCCGAAGGCAGTTGCTTAACCAACTGAGCCACCCAGGTGCCCCACAACTATTTTTTTTTTTTAAGATTTATTTATTCAAGAGAGAGGGCATGAGTAGGGGGGCAGAGGGAGAAGGAGAGAGAATCTCAAGCAGATTCCACGCTGAGCCGGGAGGCTGATACTGACATGGGGCTCAATGTCACGACCGAGACCACAACCATGAGATCACAACCTGAGCCTAAACCAAGAGGCAGTCACTTAACCGACTGCACCACCCAGGCGCCCCCACACTTAACGTTTTAAGGAGGAGATTCCCTTTACTCAAGGGAATTTGCGAAGTCTCAGAAAAATGAAAGAACAGGTTTTGAAGGTAAATTAAGAATGACTTATTTTTCTAGAGTCCACATGGGATAAAATTCCAGGAGTGAAGCTGTTGGACAGGCCAGCCATCTTCATGAATGGCTTTGGGTGCCAGAATAAAGTATTTGGACAGTCTCTTTAGCTAAGTTTGCTGGTAAATGAATTTAGTGTGGACTGTAACTGAATTTGCATCTCAGCACCACTCCAACAGGGGCCGGAACTAAGAGCTGAGTGCAAAGGCCAGGAGGAGGGTCAGAGCATATCAGAGTGGTCAGGGCAGAGAATCTGAACAGTCACTCTGTGAGTTAGACACCTTCATTCACTACACAGATCCTCATTTGAGGGCCTACTGTGTGCTCCTAGGCTCGGGGGTGGGGGGGTCAGCGTGCCTCCTGGGACCCAGGGATAGCTGCTAGGGCGCACTGACCCGTGGCCCTTGGGTGAGAAACCCTTTCAAAATCTGATCTCATATTGAATTATATGGGGAGGTACTGATGCGGAGAAACGGCATTCCCTAAGGCAGCGTGGCACCCGGGAGGAGGAATTAGGGCTCAGTTTTGATGCAACAACTCAGTCCGGCAGGGTGATGGGTGGAACTTTCCTCTTCCCGTCTGAAGATACCAATGTGGGGGTTCAAAGTGAGTTTATTTTCCCTGTGTACAAAACATCAATCAACTTACTGTTTCAAGAACAAAATGACTCCAATCAACAGAGATGTTAAGAAAACATAGACTCCCACAGTCCCTTTTACAAACAGCAGGTTTGGGACTGCGGTCCAAAGTTGATGCACGTTTCAGGAGAATGAAAATATGCCCCTTTTGGAAAAACAGGTGGAGTGCAGACTGGGAACTGGGCCAGAATCCGGGAGCAAAGGGGCGGAAGGTGCATGTTTGTTGGCGGTGGTCAACCTGACAGTCTGGGAGAGGGAAAAAGAAGAAAGTTTATTGTCAGTCAGCCTCCGAGGGTCATCCAGGTACTGTGGAGACAAAGCAGGAAGTAGGTCAGGCTATAGGGTGGCAGGGTGCGTTGCAAGGTAACTGGGGCCATCACGCTAAGCAGATGACATTTGAACTTCCCTACTGCAGTTTCATGGCGACTGAAGTTTTAGGCTAAAAATAAAAAGGTAAAGTCTTCTAGGCTTCTAAATGAATTTGAAGGGGAAGGTGGAGTCACTCTAGAATGTGGATTATTATTCACCATTCAGGGAACCACTTGAGAGATCTGAGAGATCTGATTAAGGTGCTGGTTTTCTTAAAGTTCCATTGGTTACAGTGCGCTGCTAACATCCATGACCTTCTAGTGATCTGGGACCTGGAGATAGCCATGACCTTGCTAGGAACTTCCAAAGCAGAGCGCACGTGAGTACCCCGGGAGGTCTGGTACCAATGAGTTTGGTAGGATTGGTAGGAAGGCAGTGCCAGTGCAGATTCCTAAATACTTTCCTTCTGCAGGGGACACACCAGTGCTATTAATAGCGGTCGTCACTGGCGGGGCTCCCGGGGGGCTCCCTGGGCAGTGGGGTGGTGGTGTCTGAGTTTTGCCTCCAGGAATGTATCTCCTCCTCCAAACTTTATTTTTTTTAAAGATTTTATTTATTTATTCATGAGAGACAGAGGGAGAGAGAGAGGCAGAGGGAGAAGCAGGCTCCCAAGGAGCAGGGAGCCCGACGCGGGACTCGATCCCAGGACCCCGGGATCATGACCTGAGCCGAAGGCAGTCGCTTAACCAACTGAGCCACCCAGGCGCCTATCCTCTTCCAAACTTTAAAAGGCAAAGTTTGGGCAACATGATCCTACAAGGCCACAGCACAGCCAGGATGGAAGGAGCCGCTGACCCCAGACCCTTTTCTCTTTCCTGAGGCTGCATTCTCTCGGCCTCCTCCCTCACTCTTCCACCGTCGGTCTCACACTAGGAGAGAAAAATTCGTCCTTGAACCGGCCAGGACCTGGTCTCTGCCCTTCTTCTGTCAGCTGGCCCGCTCGCGTGTGCGTCCGTGACCCCCGGTCGGGACGAGCGCTCGCGGCGGGAGCCACCGGGACCTGTCACTTTGGAGGCGCAGAGCCGGAGCGGTGCACGGCGCCGCGTGGGGTGGCTGCCCTGCGGACACCTGCGGGGGGAGCCCCGTTGCACTTTGGGCCGCCACCCCCTCCCAGCCGAGCCCAGCCCCGTACCCTGGTGCCTTGGTACACACGAGATCCAGGTCGTCCCTGTCGCTGTGTGAAGGGCTCATCGCCTACCAGCCGCTTCTCCCTCCGGGAGGTTTGTTCTCCTGATCCGTGATTGCCGCGTGGCCCGCTTCCTTCCGCAGCTTCTCTCTGTCGGTTACGGCATCGCTGTCGATTGTTTGGGCGTGGACTTGGACCGCTGAACCCTGGAGGAAATGAAGCAGGGTTCTCTGAGGCTTCTGTTAATTCGCAAGAGAGCATTGACAAAGAGGCAAGCGTTCTCGAACGGGAGACTTTTTCATGCAAAATGGGCTGGTGTAGAAGATCTTGTCAGTCAGTTTGTGCCAGATTCTGGTTTTACTCCTTTGTATGTCTTTCCCAACCAGGCCTCATCTTCCCTCAATCTTTCTCAGGGGTGTGGTGATGGAACAACAGTTATAATGCAACTTTTAGGAGGCCCTCCTCATAATAAAACAGCTTCAGATTTTGATATTTGATCATATTTGATCCACGTTGGTTATAAATAACACAGCATACCACCCCCTTTTCCCCCCAAAATAAGTGGAGGGGCCTGAGCCAGCCAGGAGTCGAACCTGGAATCTTCTGATCCGTAGTCAGATGCGTTATCCATTGCGCCACTGGCCCTGCAGAAGACAACGCCTTCTAAAGCATCATTAATTAGTCTTTATGAGGAGTGTGCATTTTTATACCACCCAATTCCTGGATGTGGCTCATGTGCACTCGGCCCCCTTCTGGTTTTTCTGCTCTCTAGTTTCCCAGCTGAGAGAATGTAAAGATTTGTGGTCGATCTTGAAGACTCATGAGTTCAATATCCTGCCAACCTCAGGTCATTGACCTCGTGGTGAAGGACCCGCCAAGCCCCAGATGATGGCGTTTTTACGGCTTAGCTGTTGGAGAACTGAAGGAAACCGGGAATCAGAGACCAGCAGGAACAGAGGGAGTAAGGAAACGCTCTTGCAAACCTAATGGGACTAATCCTTACCCAGTCTGGGTTTTCTTTCCTACCTTCCTAGGTGCAGAGCACACCCATCGACTGTGGCATTGTGTTGTAAACTGCTGTTGGCTCAGCGGCCTTCCTCGCTGAATTGTATTTTCCTTGAGGGCAGCACCTTCAGTGTCTACAAGAACTAATTTTCCACTAAAAGTCTGCGTGCGTGAAGAATTGAGACAAGTGCCTGGGAGCATCAGGAAAAAGGCCTAGCTTGCGGTGTGGATAGGCATCCCAGGTCTGTGACTCCATGCCACTTTAACCCTGATGTTTAAATGGGAGAGCAGCGGAGGACTGTCCGGCAGGGGCCTTCTAGACCCCTGAGCACAGCTTGGAGGTGCACGGCGGCGGCTTCTGTGCTCAGGAGCTGGGGCTGGGCTAGTGACGGACAGTAGGGCTGGGCCCGAGCTAGTGGCTGAGAAGTAGGCCTCCTCCTAAGTGAAGAGACTGCCTAGTCTGATGAGATGAAAGAGAAAGCTTGGTGAACCAGATGCACAACAGATTGACATTTTTCACACCATTTATGTGGTTGGTTTTGAGATTTCCTGATGCCAGTGATCAGGAGGATCTAGAACATAATGCTTATACAAGGCTTATTACAAAACCTATACGAGATCTACCTCTCAAGATCCGTCCCCAGTAACGGGAAATTCAGCAATAGATCACAACATCTGAAACTGTAACATTCACTGGCTTAAACGAAATGGTTGTATTATCGCACATAGTAAGTCCAGAGGGTAGGGAAGCTACATGCCTGGTTCATTCAGCGGATCCATCAGGACCCACATTCTAAACAATTCTTTGCACTCTGTCCTTCTCAACTTACGGATCTCATACTGCAGCTGGGTTCCCTGCAGTTCCTCAAACTCTCACAATCTTAAAGTCCCGGAGAAAAGAAAAAGCAGACAGGCCTCTTTTTGGTGTCTTTTGTTGAGGGCAACTTCTCCTATACGCTCCCAGTGGATCTCCCCCACACTGGCTGGATTTGCATCACACACTCACCTAATCCAATTATTTCCCAGAGTAGGACCACTGTGACTGATTTGGTCAATCATAATTCTTTATTTGGACCTGAGAATGGGGTCCATCTCCTCCAAAGCCAAGGAAGTATATAGAAGGTTATGTGAATACAAATATGTTTCTGTTGGAAAGGAGGCCTGGGGGCCGTGGTACTGGGGACGGCGAGTGGCTTAGCCAAGCAGTATTAGCTGCTCTACTCTGCTCCAGCCCCATATTTGAAATCAAATGAAATAAGTATTTTTTAAGCATGTTCAAGAGCTGAGAGCTTACATTAACCTACATTAGACCACAGCTAGATTTCCAGATCCTTCCAGAGCCTCAAAGAAGGGATTTGACCTATAGTTTGTGTTCAGTACTGTATTCAGTGCAAGCACATGAATTGCATATGACATTAATTATACATGATTACATATGGAATCTGACATTGAAATTGTATAATTGTGGCTGTTAATAATGCCATACATCACAGATCTTTGTAACTGCACCGTAAAATGACCCCACGCTTTCTAGACCTGAAGTGTCAGAGGCTAATGTAGGCAACACAGAGCCCAGGGCTGGTGCTCAACCCGAAACCATGGCCTCCATGTGCTTCTCCGGGGTGGAGCAGGAGTCTGAAATTATTAGTTCCAGAAATCAGTAATTTATGCCACCTACATTGGTCTATAACATATGTGTCTCTCAGTGGTTCCCACACTTATTTTTGCAGCGTCTTTATAGCTGCCGATATTTTAAATTTGTTTCATTATCACGGTCGGCTCATCTCCGGCATAATCGCGGTTTAACATTTCCTGTCTTAATTTTACTCTCTATTCTTATCATTGTTCATGAGAAGAAACTTGATGTGGAAAGAAAGAGCAGGTGGAGCGAGAGACCCAGGTTAAAATCCTGACTCTGCCTTTTTTTTTTTTTTAGCTCTGTGAAATCTGGACAAATTAAGTTTTCAGTCACCGCATTCCCTTGTCTGCAATATGAGGACGATCGTCACGTTGCAGGTTCGCTGTGAGATTAAATAACAGAACACAGGTCACGGCCTGGCCGATATTTCAGCTGCCACTAAAACGTGGCAATGTTTTATTCCATATACAAAAGCAATGTCCAATTCCAGCCCTGCTTTCTAAAATCTCATCTCAATAACTCAAAAGGCATTTATTGTTTATTCATTTGCCACGCAAAATGTGAACCCCTAAGGATTCCCAGGTAAACCTTTATCCTCATTTCTCAAGGAACTAATATCTAGTCAGAGAGACCAATCTAAACTCGTAATTACAATAAAACAGGAGAAGTGCTACCCCAGAAATTAAGAAGAAAATGTGTGAGCAGTGTGGAAGCCAAGCAATGAACTCTGGAGGGGACGTTGGGGGAGGCTCTCCCTGACCAGATCACAGCGAAGCTTAGTCTCGAAGGAGAAACAAATTGGACCTTGTGAAGAAGGCAATACAGGGCCAAGGTCTCAGGCTGTGCAAGATTAAAAGTTGCAGAAGGTGCCTGGCATACTTGATGGAAGCAGTCTCATGCGGGAGACCCAGTTTGGATCGGCCCGGAGAAAGGAACTGGGGCGGCTGGAAAAGAGGCTGGAAAGGTACCCATGTCCTGTACATTTTAATACTTTCTTTGCATGTATGACGTGCACATAATAAAAAATTAATACATTTTGAAAGATAGGTTGGTGCCAACTTGTAAATAACTTTATTTATCAAGATAAGGAATTTATCCTGAGGGCAAGAAGAAGGCAAAATATGTACTTTCAAATTTTATTTATTTAGTATTATTTATTTTTAATTTTACTTATTTGTTTGTCAGGGAGAGAGCACAAGCAGAGGGAGAGGCAGGCTCCCCTCGGAGCAGGGAGCCCGTCGCGGGACTTGATCCTAGGACTCTGGCTGGGATCAGGACCTGAGCCAAGAGCAGAGGCTTGACCTGCCGGGCCACCCAGAGGTCTGTAAAATGGAACCATTTAAGGAGAACATCGTCAGTTCTGTGTCTTAGGAAGACCGAACCAGGCACCACTAGCGGAAGACTGCCGTGGGGGAGAAGCCACGTTTGGAGACCCCACAGTCTGGGCAGAAATGACAAGGACTGCTCCGGCCACTGAGCGTGAGGAGGGCTCCGAAAGGGGAGCAGAGGTCTGGTTGAGGTGGAAAGGATGGGCCTTGGTGATTCATCAAAAGGGAGGAGCAAGGAAAATTTAGGATAATGTTTGTATTTATGGAACAGGAAATTCCACTGACCTTCACTAAACACTAAAAAAAAGTATCGTGAAGGAAATGAGCCCCAGGTTGTAGTCCCCAAAGTCCCTTGGGTGGCCCTGATTCTACCAGGACTTCCTTTGAGTCTATGAGCTACCCCTGCATCTTTCCAACAAATTCAGCCTTTTGTCATCACTGAAGGTAGTTTGGATAAGATTTTGTTCCCTGCAACGAAGAGTCCTGAATGATAAAATAGTGAAAAGATTCCATTCACGAAATTTCCAGAGGGCTGAGGATTTTTATCGAAGCTCAGGATTCACAGGTGGAGAAAGAGCTGTGGTTACTTCTAGGGAACTACTTCCAGGAGACCAGGAACATCGGCGGGGGGGGGGGGGGGGGGCTGCGCTAGGGAATCCTCAAGATGAGGAAGGTTTTCATTCCAAGTCCCCAAGAGCCAAAGCACACTCATCCGTCCCCGCACCCCAAGTGTGTCTTCTCTCTTAGGAAAACCTAAACTCCTGGAGTCTGAACCCGTATCTGAACAAGGATTAGCAACGGGCAACTCCTTCTAGTCTTACACAGGGATTAAACAGGAGTGTGTGAGCAGCTGTGAAGTCTTGAATCACAGGCTGGACACGATGTTTCTGTTAAAAGTTAGCCTTCTCACTATCCCTGAGGTCGGGCTAGCCGTCTTTTCCCAGGCTTCTCCACCATTGTGACTGGGTTCCCACTGGCCACTCGTATTTGCCTGGGTCCACTCGGGATTGGTTGCTGTAAAACTCACCGAAGCCAACAGTGATGGGAGCTGACGAAGCAGAAAATTCCTGATGAGAGAATGATCCTACTGAAGATGAAGTGACTATGGTACTTGACATATGTTAAGAAATTTAACAATTCGGGCGCCTGGGTGGCTCAGTTGGTTCAGCGACTGCCTTCGGCTCAGGTCATGATCCTGGAGTCCCGGGATCGAGTCCCGCATCGGGCTCCCTGCTCGGCAGGGAGTCTGCTTCTCCCTCTGACCCTCTTCCCTCTCGTGCTCTCTATCTCTCATTCTCTCTCTCTCAAATAACTAAATAAAATCTTAAAAAAAAAAAAGAAATTTAACAATTCTACATTTTTAAAAACAGGCTTCACCAATGGGAGTGTGGTGTAGGAACCCAAAGGGCAGACTCCTCGGTCCCTCCCCTTTCTTTCCTCCACCCACCCCATGCCTTACTATAATCTATTTTACAAATTCCCTCTCACCTCCAAGACATGGTTCTTACAGAATGTTCGGAAGAAATGGATTCTAGGTCCTCTATGAAGGCAACACTCTAACATTATAGAGTAGGGGCAGGTGCAGTGAACAAAGGAGTTGTCATTGCACTGAATCTGTGCCCGGAACTAACAGCACTCAAGGGAAAGCGTGGAAACCCACAGATACAGTTCTGGACTCAGGACCTACCCCAAGAACTCCCAAAGCCCCAAGGAGCACTCACCAGATAAGAAAACCAGCGTGGCGCTGAGCGAAGGGGATTAAAGATGAGTAGAGAAACATGATTTTTCTCTTCCTTGTGTGAGCTAGTTTCTTTCAAAATATACAGACTTCGTAGCAGCCATGCCAAGAACACACAGACACCTGTCAGGAAAAAGTGCCACAACGTGCCTGGTCCAGCTTAGTCTATAGCCTTAGGGCGAAGTCCCAAGACCTTACTTACATTAGCTCCCCCATTTTGTTTCTCTCCTTTCATTTGCACTGGATTACCTTTGTCCTTAGTCGTCCCCGACCGGTTTCTAAGAGGCTCTGCCCAGCACACCACCACCCCAGCCCAGAGCCAGGATGGTCAAGGGGATCTTCTTCCTCCCGTCCCTTACCTAGGATGAAGAAGGTGATTGTGAAGACAAAATACTGTTTCCCCCAGGTATCAAGAAGGGATTGAGGGAAGGCCAGGAGTATAAAAGCTCAGGAAAAAGGAGAGAAGAATTGGATCAGGAAAATTCGACCAAATGTAAAGTAGGCTGAATTCGGGAGGGAGAGGGGAGAAAGGCCAGTGGCTCCCTCTAGGTCCCCTTCCTTCCTGGGTCTGAATCCCCAGAATACTAAAGAAGCAGCGCAGAGACTTTACAGTGGGAACTAATGGGGGCTGGTGGGAAGCAGAGGGATGGAGGGAGAGGAAGCTGCAAAAAGATCTAGAAGGTGGTTCTAGAATAGCGATTCTAGCTGGGCTGGTGTCCCTAAAATCCTGACCCTGCCCCCCACCCCCATTCTGAAACGAGCCACTGTTCCTGCTGAGAGCGATGGGGCAGAAAGAGAGGCTGACCATTCTTGGGAAGAAGAGAACCAACTTGATTTTGATGAAGGACCCCCCCCCCCCCCCCCGTGACCTCACCAGTCCAGATGGAGAAGAGAGCACAGCATAGGGGCTGGGAGCTGCCTGGCATCTCTCCTCACGCAGGTGGAGAGGCTCCAAGCCGCCCACAGCAGGGCCGAGCCGGTGAACGTGCCCACAGGGATGAGAATGCAGTATGGTCTGATGATCCCACACTTCACACAAAAGGGCGCTGATTGGAAAACATGTGAGGGGAAGGTAAACGCGTTCGATTTTCTCAGTTCCTTTGGGATTTCTCCCCATTCTTAAAGACCCCCATGAGTCCTGGGTGTCTGGGTGCCCTGTCTCACCACCTGGCCTGGAAATCCCTGGAGGACAGTAGCCCTGACGTAGCCTCCCTGATATCACACTTAGCCCCGTGCTTCAAATGCGGGAGGATCTCTGCGAATAATTCATTGTTAATAGAAAGGGGGAAAAAATGGCATATGCCAAATGCATGCCTCGGTGATGGCAAGAGAAGTAAGGTTGTTTCTGATGCTCAGCATTCCCTGCCACGGTCACTTCCCAGAAATCATAGCCCCTTCTCCCCCTTCTCCTGTGCTAATGATGCCAGTTTACATTTCCTCTTATTCTTTTAATCTTTCTGTTTCAGCGTTCATCTTTTGATTGCGCTCTGTTCTCTACAGCACCCTTTTACATTGAGGTCATCCTAAGCTTCTCTTCCAGAGTAGAACCTTGTGGTCCTCTCCTGTGTCCCTATTGGTAGGAACATTCAGTGACATCATAAGGGTGAACTCTGCCTTCCGACGAAAAGGTGAAATCCTACCCTGCTGCCCCTGTTTTTAAAAAAAGCACATCATTTCCCAGGAGCACCTGGCTGACTCAGTCACACTCATGTGACTCTTGATCTTGGGGTCATGAGTTCGAGTCTCATGTTGGGTGTAGAGATGACTTAAAAAAATGAGGGGTTCCTGGGTGACTCAGTCAGGTAAGTGTCTGACTCAGGTCATGATCTGGGAGCTGTGAGGTTGAGCCCCGCATTGGGCTCCACAGTCAGCACAGAGTCTCCTTGAGTTTCTCTCTCCCTCTGCTCCTCCCGCTTATGCTCTCTCTCTTTCTCAAATAAATCAATCTTAAAAAAAAGAATAAAAAAACGTATCATTTGCCATACATCTCCACCCGGCAGTGTCTGTTTTCCTTGGCACACATGTGCCTCAAAAGCCATGGCTTATGCCCTTAGTTCTAACTTCTCATACTGAGTAGGCAGGAGGATTGTATTCCTGTACAAGACCAAAGGGCACTCGAGAGAGAATACAGGGTAATCAGGGAAAAATATCTGGGAAGACGTTAAGTGGAAAACAGTTTTGTGTTAAGGGTGCAGTGGGTCATACTGCATACCATACATACTTCCCTGCACTGAAAGTGCCAAGTAACTTCCCTTCCCTTCCTTCATCAGAATGATACTTAAGACATGGAATGCCTCTGACCCCACACTTATTGGCTAGCACCCTCCTTGGCCCATGGTAGACACTCTGCATGTTGGTTGAAGAAGGAAAGATGGAGCAAGGCTGAGCCCCTTACACATTTCCCATGTAAGAAAAGCTTAGGATTTTCTCAGGGTCTGTGCATCTATAAAAAATTCAGTACACTTTTCCTCCGGTGCCCAAATCTCCTTTATCCGTATTGTTGAAGGCAGTGGGACATTGCTTAGTGCCCTTTCGTTCGGTGGTAATTTTTTGCTTTGAGTTGGAAGACGATCTACCTTTAAGAGCAAATACTATATAAAAATGTCGAGAAGACTGCAGGGGCTCTTTTTCCTCCTTGGAACTTTATATACACAGTACCTTTCACACCACTCCATATTTTTCTATCTTACACCACGGTTTTTGTTTTGACAAATCCTAGGCACCTATCCATGACAAATGGTAACTTTTTTTTTTTTTAAGAGAAGAAAGAAAGTGCTTGGGATAGAAATGCCAGCGAATTCTACATAATCTCTCTCCCACATGGCCCCCCCACAAGAAAGACCCCACCCCCTGGGCGCACACACACACACACACACACACCCGTACGGATAGCTCCTTCCCCCATCCTCTCATCTCAAAACTCTCCTAAGTATGAGGTCTTTTTTTTTTTTTTTTTTAAACCTAGTTTAAATAGCAGAGAGACATCGGGGACTCCAGAGACCCCATCTTGGGCCTGTGTCTGTCGCTTTCCCTCGATCGTTCCCGCTCTCCCGTCCCAGGGAGGGATGCCCGCGGGCGAGCCGGGGCGGGCTCCCTACCCACCGGCTGTTGCGCAGATCCCTTCGCGGCAGCAAACAGCCTCTCACATCCTCCGGTGTCCAGCCCGTTGGTTGCGGGAGAGCCGGGGCGAGGCGCCGAGCGGCGTCCGTGCGAGCCAGCGCCCCCCCCCCCCCCCCCCCCCCCCCAGCCCCTCGGAGGCCGCGCGAGGAGCGCTGGCCCGGGGGGGCGCCCGCGCGTCCGCACCTGCCTGTCCCGGTCGCCTTGCAAGCGGTCGCCGCCGTCTCCGCGCGCAGAGCGCCCCCCGCGCCGTCACGGGGGTGACCCCGGCGGGGTGGCAGCCGAACCCGACCCGCCCGGTGCGCGAGAGGCGGCGGCGGCGCTCCGGGGGAGCGGGGGGGGGCCCCCCGGGCCGTGCCCCCAGCCGAGACGCTGGCCCTTGCTGCGTAGGCCGTGTAGCTAGTGACCGGAAGTGGAAAGCAGGTGCTCCAGTGGCGCAATCGGTTAGCGCGCGGTACTTATACAGCAGTATGTGTGCGGGTGATGCCGAGGTTGTGAGTTCGATCCTCACCTGGAGCATCATTTTCCAGCCAGAGGCTGCCTCCCTTGAGAGAGAGAGAGACCCTTTCCTCTCTGCTTTCCCAGGTTCTTCCGGACCGTATCCCACCGTCTTTGATGTGTTTGAATTTGTTCTATAGCATGTATCCTTGCCGTTCTCCTGGGCGCTTTTGAAATCGAACAATGTCAAAAGCTTTTACAGACTGAATCCTGTTGTACTGCAGTGAGTCAGCTTCTCTCTTTATCCTCACCTGCTCCTGCAAGCGTTCTCCTATGCACATCTCCTGACAGCCCGCCTTCCCACTTTGCTCTAATGGGGAGCCCCTGGCGCATACTTAGAAAGTGCCAAGTCACTTCCCTGCACTGATAAGCACTGAACTCCATGAGAGGGAACTCAAAAGTGAGAAATTGTATGAGGTCCCAGCCTGATTAAAGTTCCAGCTTGGGGGAGCAATGGAATACTGATTTCTGAAGGCGGGACCACCTCTAGTATCCCCCCCCCCCCGCCCACTTAAGTATATACCCTGATGACCCAACAACCGGGAACGATATAGCAGCTTTTGTCAACTGAGAAACAGAACCTGGCATCCTCAATGATCCAGCTCTCTGGGCCTGGAAAAAGATGAGTGATAAAGAGCCCCAAAACCAGAAATCTGTAGAACAACATCACAGGAATAAGCATATTGTTGTGCCTGAGGTAGGAAATAGGTAGTGATTTTGACTTTGACTCCCTTAACCCATTTTGCAACCCCCTCTACCTCTGTTTTTTTTTTTTTAAGATTTTATTTATTTATTTGAGGGGGAGAATGAGGGACGGGGAGCATGGGGGGGGAGAGTGGGGGGGCGGCAGGCTCCCGGCTGAGCGGGGAGCCCGATGTGGGACTCGATCCTGGGACTCGATCCTGGGACTCGATCCTGGGACTCGATCCCAGGACTCCAGGATCATGACCTGAGCTGAGGGCAGTCGCTTAACCAACTGAGCCACCCGGGCGCCCCCCCCCCAACCTCTGTTAACCACCAGTCTGTTCACTGTATGTACGAGGTGGGATCCCCCTGCCCCGCCCCCCCCACCAAAAAAACCTACTTTTCATGAAGACTGAGGCAGATGCAATAACTTTTCAGAGGCAGGATTCAGCCAAACTTCTATCAGAGTCAGGAAAACTAGCAGCAGGACACAGGAGGAGACTTAAGGCTCCAGTCAAGGGCATTGTCCCTCGCATTAAAGACTACAGAGCTCATTTAATTCTTACTGTCTTTGGACAGAATCTCTTAAATATCAAATTCACAGTTCTTGGGCACAACTAATTTACCAGTAAGACCATATTTCCAATATCCTAATTAATTAACAAGGATAAATCTCACTAAAGAAAACCAATTTCTAATATTTCATTATGTTAATTAGCAGAGCCTCTGGTTTTTATCAAAGATAAAGAAAACAGAAGTCTTTTTAGGAGTCACTTCTGCACTGTGGGTTTCTGTTTATGATGCTGACTCACCATCCTCCAGATTGTGATATACCTGCACAACAGCCTGAATCATCTTAAATCATCTTAATACAAACATTTATATTAGGCTGTGCAGTTGATTAAATTATTGGTCCCTCTCTGTATCCATACCCAGATTGTGGGTGGAGAGTATGTCTTCATCCATAGTTGATTGTAGATCTGAAATAGCTCCCGTTCTCTTCTGCGAAGTGACCTTGGAACTGCCTCACCTATCATTGGACTCTGTGTCTCTTCCCCTTGAAGTTGGACTGGATTTCTAACTCCTTGGAACAATGGAATGCTGTGAAAGTAACATTCTGGGGCTTGTGAGCCCAGGCATTAAGAAAATAGGTCAGCTTTCCATTTTGCCTTTAGGGAGAAGCTAGATCCCATGTAAGAAGTCCAAGACTGTGATTTCCTGAGGAGGCTCCGGCTGACCATGGGGAAAGCAAGCCTACACAGAGATTCCTGACCAGCCCCCAGCTGTCTCCAGCCATTCCAGCTGAGATATCAAACGTGAAGGAAAAAGCCATCACAGATATTCCAAGCCTAGCGGACACCCCATGGGGCAGAGATAAGCCATCTCTGTCAATCCCTGCCCAAGCTGTAAAATCATAAGCAAGTAAATAATCATTGTTTTAAGTCACTACATTTGGATGTAGTGTTTAACCCACTGCATTTGAGGTGGGTTTTTTTAAAATGGTTTTATAGATAACTGAAAAACATGGTCCCTTGACTTTGGGTTTGGCCACTGAACATGGGGCAAAAGCAACAGTGTGCTTATTCCCAGCCTGGACCTTAAGAGGCCTTGCCTATTTCCACTTTCTTTCTTGTACCTCTGCCATTGTCATAAGAACAAGCCCCAGCTCACTCAGTGGTGTGAGGAGGGGGCCAAGAGGCATAAAGAGAAAAGTTCTCCGGCTGTCCCTGTTGCTGGCAGACGGAAGCAGCGTCTCCCAGCTGAACCCGGCCTAGGTCAGATGACTTTTCCAACCAGTCTGTATGAAATCAATAATTATTGGCATGTGCCACTGAGCTTTGAAGGTAGTTCATTAGGCAGTAATGGCTAGCTCTTTCATTCTGTCTTTGTTGAAGTATTACAGACATCTTAAGAGGAGTTCATAATTCAATTCTTGTGGACCAGTAACAAAATCATTAGAAAAAGACAGAATATGTAAAGCATCATCGCTCTGTCCATATTTTCCCATTTTTATCACATACTCTTACCTGACCTAGAGGATAAAAGGGAAGTAAGGCTAATTCCATGTGCTTTGCAGATGCATATATGGTCTATAAACTCAGAACCTATGGGCAATATTAGGCCTGATGTCTCCCATCCACCCAGAAGAGTTTTTGCAATTTCCCTCAATTCCCTTTAGCGCCCAACTCCACGATAATGCCTTCATTCTCAGCAAGTGATCATCCCTTCTATTTCACAGAGAAACTAGCTCCTCTGATTCACATCACCTCTCTCCCCCACCCCAACTCGGGGTACCTCTATAATTCATCTGCGTCACTTCCCAGACTCCACGATTTGCCACCCCATCTCTCTAGGGAAAATCTCTCTGTCTCTCTTTTAAACACTAAACTCTTCATACCCACCTCCAAATTCCAACTCCCTACTGACGATTTAACCTTAAGATATGTAGATATACACCAGCCTGCCATCCTTTTACAAATTAATCTTGGCAGCGCCATCTGGAGGTGGAAAAAAGCACATATGTATCGCACAGACGTATGGACCTACAGAGAGAGGCAAACAGAGAGACCTTATTGTTTTCAAGTTTTAAGCCATGAGATGGGCATAATAATGCAAAACTCACTAGTTCATAAGAGAACAGCTGGATGCAGTTTTGTGGCAGATAGAATAAACTGAGGTTCACTGCTCAGATGGCTAAAACTTTTTCTACTGGTATTTGTGGAGAAGACACTGAGGATTTGTATTTGTCCTTGACAAGTAACCTCATGGAAACTGTGGGCTAGATGGGCAGGGGGGCTTCTAAAAGGTCTTCCTCCCCCACCCTTTTTTCTTCAGTCTTAGGAATTGGGGGTGATGTAGATAAGAGTTCTTGAAGAGGTTACAAGCCTTTTGAGACAAATAGGGGAGGTTTTGGGAATCGTGGAAACAAATGGGTAGAATGTGACCTGCCTCTAGAGGTGCATTTCTCATCTTACAAGTTGTAAGGTAAGAAGAGTAGCTCCCAATTTCTCAAAGAATTGGGCTGTAACTTAAATGACATCATAGATCCATCTCTCCAACTTCATTATCCTCCATTTGTTTCTTTCTTTCTGGGTACCTAGTTCTAATTTTAATGTAGGGGGGAAGACTTTGAAAAATTCCTACCAGGCTCTGAATATCAGCTTCCAATCTGGCCAACTTTTGACCACAGATCTACTTAAAACAAAATTATCTTAAATGTTGGATACCTGGGTGGCTCAGGTCATGATCCTGGAGTCCGGGGATCAAGTCCCGCATCGGGCTCCATGCTCAGCGAGGACCCCAAAAAGGGTGCATAGAATACTACCTCCCCGAGATCCAGAGCCACTCCCAAAGATAGCTCAAAGAAAAGAGCCAACCACCTGTGCGTCTCCAGCAGAAAGGCAGAAAGCCAAGCCAAGTTCTTAGGACATAAAATAAGAGCCAGGAAGTAATAGCTATCTCCGGGAGGCAAAGAATCAATAACCAATGGGTCTGGATTTGGAAAGGAAGGGACAATGTGAAATTTTCTTTTCCTCTCTCAACTGGGTGCTACAGACAGAGATTCAGAAAAGCTGTTTCTGGTAAGAATTTTTACCCTTTTCTGGCTTTTGCCAGTTTTTCCAGGATCCCCTCTCCAGGCTCTGATATCTACCAGAGATTCAGTTTACCAGAAAAATCCCTCAGTTTTGTCAATTCTGGGAGGGGCCTGAATTGGGACCCTCCTTTGAAAGTGAATAGAAGGGTGTCTGTAAGGTGATTAATTGGGCAGACTTTTGTTGATGGTCCTGTGAGGGCAATTCAGACAGAGGATTACTAAAATGAGTACTCAGGTAAAGGAGGTTACAAGGAAGCAGTAAGAGTTATGCCCGTCTTTTGTATTAGGTACTTCTTGTGTCCTTAATTTTTTATCAGCTTTTTTTGCAATGAAACTTTCCATGAAACTAGTTTTGGAATTTTGAAGCCTTTGCTTGTAAGTGCACTTCCTAAATGATCATCCAGTTGGAATGCTCTTAATAATGGTGACTGTAATTCTAAATTATTCAAAAGTTCACCCATTTTTCCAGAAAGACACAAGAGCCTGGCCCAGGGACCAGGTAGTTAGATGGAACCTATCTTGCCTCTGGATTCCCTAAGATATTTTAGTTATGGGGGCCTTATTTTCCAATAGCTCTTCTAAAACACTGGGAATCAATGTGTTTTTTGAACAGGATGGAT